TTTGGTGATGTACAATTGTGTCACCTTTATTAATCATCTATCAGTCAATTAGGGTGAAGCCTAAATTGCTTTTGTTGTTGTTGTTGTTAATCCTCACCTGAGGATATTTTTGCCATTTATTTTCAGAGAGAGTAGAAGAGAGAGAAGGGGGTGGGCAGGAGAAACATTGATTCAAGAGAGACACATAGATTGGTTGCCTCCTGCACATGCCTTGACTGGGAATGGGACCTGAGACCTTTTGGTGTGTGGGCTGACACTGTAACACAGGCCATGGCCTAAGTTGCCTTTTGAAGGAAGTCTTATCCCTGCTCAGAGTTGTTCCCTTGCATAATTTCTGATGATTGTGAGTCCAGCTTTCTGTTCAGGAGTAAATTCTCTTTAAGCTCTTCACAGGTTGCCAGGTCTGTTGCCATCTTAACATCCTCAATTGCACTTAACTGCAGCATAAAAGAGTTGCCATTCTGGGATGAGATGGGTTACAAAATCTTGATCTACTTGCCTCTCAAAAGTCATAGGCAGCCAAATTTCATGGAGTACTGCCTGAAGACTATGATGTATCTTCATTTATAGACACTGGGAAAAATGTTATCTATCTATCTATATTAAAGGCTAATATGCAAAGTGTCCCTTTGGGAGTTTGATCGCTCGCTATGGCGTACGCTGACCAGCAGGGGGCAAGGCAGAAGGAAGGAAAGCTGCAGCCAGGGAAGGGAGACCCTGGCCAGGAGCTGGTAAAGAGAGGTGCCAGCCAGCAGCCAGAAGGCCCCAATCCACCCTGATCGCTAGCCAGGCCTAGGGACCCTACCCATGCACAAATTTTGTGCACCGGGCCTCTAGTCCTATAGTAATAAAAGACATTCAAATTGACCGTACTCTCCCTATGCCTTAAGCCATACCCACCAGCCAATCAGAGCGACTATATGCAAATTAACCCAACCAAGATGGAGGCCGGCAGCCCACGGAGCTGGAGTAAGCAAGAGGCTTGCTTGCTCCAGTGATGGAGGAAGCCAAGGTTCTCCACCTGCCATGGCCTGGCTCTGAGCTACACTGAAAGCAACAAAGTTTCAATTATAGAAGGTAAACAAACCTCAGATATTCAACTAGCCATGGCCACTGAGCTGGAGCAAGCAGGAGTGAGTTGCCCCTGGTGATGGAGGAATCCAAGCTTTCCCCAGGCCTACACTAAAGGCAATAAAGTTTCAATTATAGAAGGTAAATAAATCCCTGAATAAAAAAGAAAAAAAGAAAAAAAGGAGAGGCTTGGAGCTTACATTGCCAGGGTGCTTGGCCAGGCTGAAAACGGCCCTCAGCTCTTCACCCAGACTGGCCAGGCACCCCAGCGGAACCCCCACCCTGATCCGGGACACCCTTCAGTGCAAACCAGCTGGCCTCCACC